GGAGCATCAGGAGCAGGAGGAGGAGAAGGAGGAGGAGAAGGAAGAGGAGAAGGGGAGAAAGAGGAAGAAGAGCATCAGGAGGAGGAGGAGGAGGAAGAGGAGGAAGAGCATCAGGAGGAGAAGGAGCATCAGGAGGAGGAGGAAGAGGAGGAGCAGCATCAGGAGCAGGAGGAGGAGGAGAAGGAGCATCAGGAGGAGGAGAAGGAGGAGGAGGAGGAGCAGCATCAGGAGCAGGAGGAGGCGGCTCATCAAGAGCAGGAGGAGGAGGCTGATAATCTGCTGAGCTGTCACGGGTTTGGGTGTCTCCGTGACCTCTCGGCAGCCCTGAGGAAGCAAGGTCCAGTGACGTGAGCTCCCAGGGAACACGGCCCGTGCACAAGCTCGTCCCCGCGCAGAGCACCGCGCAGCCCCCGTGCACAAGCTCGTCCCCGCGCAGAGCACCCGCGCAGCCCCCGGGCGTCGCGCACCTCAGTCGCCGCTTCTCGGAGATGTTGAGCGCGTACTTGCGGATGGACTGGCTGCTGAGGTTCTTGGTGATGCCTCCCTCCAGGTGGGAGCCGTAGGAGTCGGCGGGCTTCAGCAGGGTGCCGCTCTGCTTGTCCCGGGGAAGGATGGTGGTCCTCCTGCGGGCCACCGAGCGGTAGCTTGGCAATTCTTGCAGGAAGTTCACAGGTGGCGAGGAGAAGCCTTCCACCAACTGATTCTCTGGGGGAGAAAAGAAAACCGCCCTTCACTGCGGCAGGCCTGGGGGCCAACACACAAACCTGCTGGAATATCAGCCGGCGAGGCCACCACCTTGCAGACATTCACCAGCCCGGGCCAGGAGCAGAATCACCTGGACCCTATTCTGTCCACAGTGCTCATGGCGTGCTCAGCACTCACACAAAATAATAGTGATCAGTGTCCGCAAATGCGTTCACTTTCTGCACGTGTGTGTGTGTGTGTGTGCAAACGAGCTTTAGGCTGTACAACCTCAGAGCTCTAATTCTGAGCTGGACCAGTGACTTATTTTACCCAAAGGACACAACAGGAGGGGTGCTCTCCCTTCCAGCCCTAGGTCATCAAAGGGCCCGGGGCTCTGGGTAAGAAGTTCGGCTTCCCTGGGGCAGCCACAAGCAGGGGCAGACCCTACGCCACAGGGAGAAAGGCCAGGGAACTGGGTGACAGCAAGAGCCAAGATCCTGGGCTTCTGTCCCCAGACCCCAGGCCACCCTCACCAGACATGGGAACCAGCAGAAATAACACGCGGCTGAAGCTCCCGGGTACTGGAGAAGTGGCTTGGAAGCCGAGGTCATGAGCACCAGGTCAGGTTGTAACCCGGCTGGAGGCCACCGAGGCCCACGGCCTGACCACACTTTAAGTGGCTGCTCTGGAGGCTTCGAGGCTCAGGCCAGGTTGGGTGCACAGGCCCGCCGATGGGTCGAGGGTCACAGCGCAGCACCCAGCTGTTCAGATCTGGGACGACCGCCCCTCTCTCTGATGGACACATTCAGACACAACAGAAGGACTGTCCGGCCACAGATGACACAGACACACGCACCCAGGGCTCTGCTCATGGCCAGGAGCCTCCCACACCCAGAGCCTCCCACGTCTCCAGACCCAGCACACCCCGAGGATGTGACACGCGCCATGTGTAACAGCGTCCAGGGCCGACTCAGCCGCGCCCCTCTCTGGGCAGCAACAAAGCGCTTATTAACCGTGAACAAAGGTCTTTGAAGATCAACCAGCACAGAGCTGCTGAATATTCAGCAACTGCGGGGTCAGGACCCACAGCTGGAGCTGGGGCCTGCCACCCACTGGCCAGGCCACCCCAGGAGAGGCCACAGCTGTGCCAGAGTCACATTTTTCAAAGGTCTCCATTGATGCATTGTAGATAGATATATAACAGTGGGTTCCTTCTGACACGATCACATGTGCATGGAATACAATTTGCTCCCTCTGTCCCCAGTACTTCCCCTGTTAGAGTCAAATTCTACTCCCCTCGGGAACAGGAGATGCATCAGGAAGAGCCCTGGGAGTGTGACAGTGGGCGCGGGGATCCAAACAACAGGATCAGTACTGACTCAGCTCCACTGAGTGTCCACTCGGTACCAAGCTCTTCAGAGTACTTGCTGTGAGTCACCACGCTTAGTCCCATCTGAACTGCTCTTGGAACACAATTGTCCCTATTTCGCAGACGAAGAAACTGAGGTCCGGGCGGGCCATGGGACCTCCCTACTCACACAGTTGCTCCGTGTGGGGACCAGGAACCTTCCCAGTATCTCAGTCTCCAAAGCTGCACCCTGGAATGAAACCATCCAAGGGTCCACGGATAGGGAAGTGCTTCCCTAAGTGCTAAATGACACACAGGTACCCCAGCTGATTACTGATGGGTCTTCCCCAAATCACACCCCGACCCTGGCAGCAGATGTTCCATTCACACGGTGTCACTTCAGTAGCCCCAGGTGGAACGTTCGATTCTCAAATGGCTGTCATGGAGCAGGAACGCTTTTTCAAGACTCTTGGGTCACTCCAGGGACGTCGCCTGTCTTTAAATAGACAAACACACAGCCACGCCTTTGAACGTGGCCCCGTTATGGTTGTTCCCAGGATCCTGGCTCTCCTTTTCCCAGCGGCCCACACACTATTCAGAGCATGACATCACCTCATTTCCCACGCCCACCTGCAGCGTCGGGCACGGGTGATTTCACTGCCCTGGCTTTGTAGCAGGGAAACTGAGACCCAGAGAGACGGTGGCCTGGCTGAGGCTTTGATGTTGAGGCAAACCCTGGCCACTGCTTCTTAGAAACGCAGGTCGCCAGCCTCGATGAGCCTCAGTGAGCTCAGGTTTTGAAACAGGAAACTCGCTCTTTTTTTTTTTTTTTTTTTGGTACCAGGGATTGAGCTCAGAAGCATTCAACATCTGAGCCCCATCCCCAGCCCTATTTTGTATTTTATCTAGAGACAGGCTCTCACTGAGTTGCTTAGTGCCTTGCCATTGCTGAGGCTGGTTTTGAATTCACGATCCTCCTGCCTCGGCCTCCTCCCGAGCTGCTGGGATGACAGGTGCCACCCGCCAGCCGGCCTGCTCATTTGCGTAGGAGGTTGTGGGGACAGATTTCAGATGTTAGGTGCCACTGTCTAGGAGCACCTAGAACCTCTTGGCTATTGGAGCCAGATTTCAGCAATGAGGAGATTATTTAGGTGGGAAGATGCCCAGGGCCAGGGGACTAGCATAGGAACTTTTCCTGTCGTATGATATTCTTCAAGGTCAAGGTCAAAGTTTAGCTGGGCTTGGTGGTGCATGCCTGTCATCCCAGCGACTTGGGAGGCTGAGGCAGGAGGATTGCAAGCTCCAAGGCAGCCTCAGCAATTTAGCAAGGCCCTAAGCAACTCAGTGAGACTCTGTCTCTAAATAAAATACAAAAATAGGGCTGGGGATGTGGCTCAGTGCTCGAGTGCCCCCAAGGTCAATCCCCAGTACCCCACCCATCCCCCAAAAAGGACAAAGTTTAGAGCGGTGCTTGTCCCAGAGGGGGCTCCGCCTGAGGAGGAGAAGCGACTGGCGGGCACATCTGGAGAGCACCCTCAGGTCCTGCCCCAGGATCTTGGCAGCTCTTGTCGACAGGACAACGAATCCAGCCAAAGGACATGACCCCTCCCTGGACGGAGGTCAAGCATGATCTAAGTGGCACCAGCAGCAGCACCAGCGAGCGTGCCCAGAGCCTGCCCCACCGTGGTGGGTGCTGAGCTCCCTGCAGCGTTCTGCTTCCCACTCACAGGACCGTGGGAACTCTGGGTAACAGGGCCAGTAGGTCACCGGGTCCAGGCCTGCGGTGGCTGCCGTGGGAATGAGTAGTCTCCCCTGATCCCCAGGAGGAGCCTTCCAGACCCCAGGCCAGTGCTCAGAACCAAGATGGCCCAGAACTCTACAGATACTGTTCTTTCCCTTGTGTATATCAGCAAATTTGGTACCTTTTCCATCTTAACCGTGGCTCTAACTTTCGCAGTTTGGCAGCAAAACCGACTTGGATTTCTTTTTCCTTCTTTTTCATGATTTCAGGGATAGAACATTTATTCTCACTGTAGATCTTAGCAACCTGAGCATACAATTATTATTTTTTTCTCATTAAGTCAAGAACTTCCCCTTTTTCGATTAAAGCTGACACTCTGTGGCTTCTATTGGGTGTATCTGAATCGCCAGCATCACTATTCTTAGGCTTTGGGGCTTTTGTTAAAATAAGTGTTACTTAAACACAAGCACCGCAGAACCTCCACAGTCGAGCTGATAACCAAGATGGTTACTAAGTTACTAACGGGCAGGTAGCACACACAGCGTGGATACTCTGAATGAGAGGGTGAGTCAAGTCCCAGGTGGGAGATGAAACAGGAAGGAAGGAACACGCTACTCAGAACTTAGGAGTCGTTTAAATCTGGAATTTTCTTTTTTAATGTTTTTGAACTATGGTTGACCACAGGCAATTAAAAAGCCATGGCAAATAAAACCTCAGATAACTGGGGACAACTGTAGTTCTGCTTCACAACTGGGGCTTGGGGACTCTGGAGAGAAAAATGACTTGCCCTCCATCTGGATGAGTTTTCTCTCACTCTTCCACCTCCACACACCTCCCAGGGGCCCACTACTCCACAACGGCCATCTCCATCGTTAGCCCCCCTTCAACTGTGTGATGTGTTGGACCCCCTCCCATTAGCTTAGGGACCCTGAAAGACTCACCAAGACAAGCACAGTCCATGGTGAGCTTCCCAGGAAGGCAGGGCGCCAAAACATGAGAAAAAGATTTAAGAAACTTTTTAAGAACATATTCTTTTCTATGTGTCTTTTTCCAAAATGAAAAAATTTTAAAGGAAAACAAACGGACTGAGATGTCAACCGTATACGACCTTTTTCTTATTTCAGGTTCTTTACACAAACCAGCCCTATTAGGAACACGTTTTGCTGGTTCTTCCCACAGGATAAAATGCGTTGTGTACACACACACACACACACACACACACACACACGCGCGCGCGCGCGCTCTTGGGTATGACTGATAGCAGCAACAGAGAGCTCCATGTCAGGACTTCCTGCAAACCTTCCCACTCACTGTCCTTTGTCTGGCTTTTGTTTTGGAGGCTCATTGGAGGTGGGGTACCCAAATAATTTGTGCTTACATCTACCGAAGGGTCTTAACCCAGGAGTCCTACAGTCCAGGGACCCTAGCTGGGGGCCATGACATGTTCATCAAATGCTAAATGACCGCAAGGGACCCATCACGACTGCCCCCCTCAAAGACCACCCAGCCACTCACACACCCGTTCACTCGGCCACCGGGCCACTGGGAAACATGGACTGAGCAACTTCGGTGGGTCAAGCTCTGCTCCAGGACTGGGACAAAGCCCCGACTATGACACAAAAGTGCCCTTTCTTTTGACACCTGTGTTCTATTGTGGGAGACTTAAGCAACCGAGAACCAGATCATTTAGTTGGTGAGACAACTGTAAACAAAGCGGCCAAGGTCAGTCTCCTGAGAAAGTGAAATCAGAGCAAAGACTCAAGGCCGGGAGAGACAGCCATACAGCCACCTGGGGGGAAGAGACTCCAAAGGTGACAGAAGAGGAAGTGCAAAGGGCCTGAGGTAGAATGGTGCTCGGTCAGTTTGAGAGATCGAGTGGCTGGAGAGTCAGCACAGGGAGGACGGCAAGGACAGAGAGTCAGGGGAGGACTG